ATTGTTCTAACTATTTGCAACTGTGTGGTAAATCCTAAAGCATGGAGTCACACACAAGGGGGTTTCGCAATCTGCACAGTAATATTTGGTTCCTCTTCTAATCTTCTTTTCGCGTTCATCTCGAGCCCTGCTGCAAATTCCACATTGCCTGGTTGGATTTGCCTTTTTCTCAGTAGCTGGAATAAGATCTGGAAAATGTCGTCCTGTCAGACGAAGCGGAGTGAGCTGGGTTGAAGGTCGTCCTGTTCTTGGACTAAACTCAGTTTGATGATATTTTTCCATTATTTGCTTTATAAGCTCCAATCGGTATACAAGTGCTGATTTTGTTCCGCCCGTTTTTACATATATTATAAAAGAGTTCCATAGGGCTAAATCCAAAGGTGGAAAAATATTTTTTCATAATATTTTTTACCTCTTTTTTTGGTAAAGTATAGTCAGCCAAGTGCTGGTCCACTCGGTCCACTCCACCCATGGTATCGTTATAGTCCACAACCAATAATACATTGGACTAGCGCAGTTTCTAGCATGCCAACGTTATGCTAAATATTGTTCGTTGCAGTATTTATTATAAAACCACCTGTAGCGCAGTTGCTGGTATGCTAATGCAATGCTAGCGATATATACTTTATCCCTATCTCTAATCATTTTTTTATCCTTTGGCATCTTTGATCTATTATCTCGTATCTGGTATCTGGTATCTGGAATCTGGAATCTGGAATCTGGAATCTGGAATCTGGAATCTGGTATCTGGTATCTGGTATCTGGTATCTGGTATCTGGTATCTGGTATCTGGTGTCTGGTATCTGGTATCTGGTATCTGGTATCTGGTATCGGGTATCTGGTATCTGGTATCTGCTATCTAGAATCTGGTGTCTGGTGTCTGGTGTCTGGTATCTGGTATCTGGTATCTGGTATCTGGTATCTGGAATCTGGTATCTGGTATCTGGTATCTGGTATCTGGAATCTGGAATCTGATATCTGGAATCTGGAATCTGGTATCTGGTATCTGGTATCTGGAATCTGGAATCTGGAATCTGGTGTCTGCTGGTATCTGGTATCTGGTATCTGGAATCTGGTATCTGGAATCTGATATCTGGAATCTGGTATCGGGTATCTGGTATCTGGTATCTGGTAGCTGGTATCTGGAATCTGGCGTCTGGTGTCTGGTGCCTGGTATCTGGTATCTGGTATCTGGAATCTGGAATCTGGTATCTGGTATCTGGAATCTGATAATTGAATCTGGAATATGGTATCTGGTATCTGGTATCTGGTATCTGGTATCTGGTATCTGGTATCTGGTATCTGGTATCTGGTATCTGGTATCTGATATCTGATATCTGATATCTGATATCTGGTATCTGGTATCTGGTATCTGGTATCTAGTATCTGGAATCTGGAATCTGGAATCTGGTATCTGGTATCTGGTATCTGGTATCTGGTATCTGGTGTCTGGTGTCTGGTATCGGGTATCTGGAATCTGGTCTGGTATCTGGTATCTGGTGTCTGGTGTCTGGTGTCTGGTATCTGGTGTCTGGTATCTGGTATCTGGTATCTGGTATCTGGAATCTGGAATCTGGAATCTGATATCTGGAATCTGGTATCTGGTGTCTGGTATGTGGTATCTGGTATCTGGTATCTGTTATCTTTTATAAATTTTTCATTTTTCATTTTTCGTTTTTCGTTTTTCGTTTTTCTGGTATCTGGTATCTGGTGTCTGGTGTCTGGTGTCTGGTATCTGGTGTCTGGTATCTGGTGTCTGGTATCTGGTATCTGGTATCTGGTATCTGGTATCTGGAATCTGGAATCTGATATCTGGAATCTGGTATCTGGTGTCTGGTATCTGGTATCTGGTATCTGTTATCTTTTATAAATTGCTCATTTTTCGTTTTTCGTTTTTCGTTTTTCGTTTTTCGTTTTTCGTTTTTCGTTTTTCGTTTTTCATTTTTCATTTTCATTTTTCATTTTTCATTTTACATTTTTCGTTTTCCGTTTTTCATTTTTCATTTTTCGTTTTTCGTTTCTCGTTTCTCGTTTTTCGTTTTTCGTTTTTCGTTTTCGTTTTTCGTTTTTCGTTTTTCGTTTTTCGTTTTTCGTTTTTCGTTTTTCGTTTTTCGTTTTCGTTTTTCGTTTTTCGTTTTTCGTTTTTCGTTTTTCGTTTTTCGTTTCGTTTTTCGTTTTTCGTTTTTCGTTTTTCGTTTTCGTTTTCGTTTTTCGTTTTTTTCGTTTTTCGTTTTTCGTTTTCGTTTTTCGTTTTTCGTTTTTCGTTTTTTCGTTTTTCGTTTTTCGTTTTTCGTTTTTCGTTTTCGTTTTTCGTTTTCGTTTTCGTTTTTCGTTTTCGTTTTTTTCGTTTTTCGTTTTTCGTTTTCGTTTTTCGTTTTTCGTTTTCGTTTTTCGTTTTTCGTTTTTCGTTTTTCGTTTTCGTTTTTTCGTTTTTCGTTTTTTCGTTTTCGTTTTTCGTTTTTTCGTTTTTCGTTTTTCGTTTTCGTTTTTCGTTTTTCGTTTTCGTTTTTTCGTTTTTTTCGTTTTTCGTTTTTCGTTTTTCGTTTTTCGTTTTTCGTTTTCGTTTTTCGTTTTTTCGTTTTTTCGTTTTTTCGTTTTTCGTTTTTCGTTTTCGTTTTTCGTTTTCGTTTTTCGTTTTCGTTTTCGTTTTTCGTTTTTCGTTTTTCGTTTTCGTTTTTCGTTTTTCGTTTTTTCGTTTTTCGTTTTTCATTTTCATTTTTCATTTTTCATTTTTCATTTTTCATTTTTCATTTTTCATTTTTCATTTTTCATTTTTCATTTTTCATTTTTCATTTTCATTTTTCATTTTCATTTTTCATTTTTCATTTTCATTTTTTTTTTTTCATTTTTCATTTTTCATTTTCATTTTTCATTTTCATTTTTCATTTTTCATTTTCATTTCATTTTTCATTTTTTCATTTTTCATTTTTCATTTTTCATTTTTCATTTTTTTCATTTTTCATTTTTCATTTTTCATTTTTCATTTTTCATTTTTCATTTTTCATTTTCATTTTTCATTTTCATTTTCATTTTTCATTTTTATTTTTCATTTTTCATTTTTCATTTTTCTATTTTCATTTTTTTTATATTAAGCTGCATCAGCCGTCTGGCTATTAGCAGCGGTATTGGTCTCATATTACAGTTGATGAAGCATGTTACAGTTATGTAAGAAATCGATTAGATTTTGGATGTTACAGTTTGTTCCAAGGATATGTTTTAGATTTTCCCACTTAAATTAGATTGTTGTCTTTGATGCTCGTAGACTTGGCACTCCACTAGTATATGTTTCACTGTTAACCTGGTTTCACACAAAGCACACACTGGTTCAGGTTGCTGGGTGATGAGGCAACTATGGGTTATCCTGGTGTGGCCTAAGCGAAGTCGTGTTACGGCTGTTTGTATGCTTCTGTCTTCTGTGACTGTCTGCCATTCTCCGAATTTTGATTTCAGCTCACGCAGCTTAGAAGGCTTTGTTTCCCACACACTATTCCATTGGTCTGTCATGTCATGTTTTTATATATTGTTTTAAGTCTGATGCTGGTATTTGTAGATTACTTGTACGGTTACTCATTGCTGTTGCCTTTGCACTTGTATCTGCTGTCTCGTTTCCTGCTATGCCTATGTGTGATGGAGCCCATATAAATATTATACGTTGATTATTGCTGATAAGATTGGATATAGTTTCTTGTATTATTATGGCTAAAGGGTTTTTGGTATATAATTTGCTGATAGCAGATAGTGAGCTGAGCGAATCTGTTACTACATCCATTTCTGGGCAGGATTACTTTTGATGTGTTTCAGGGCTCCTAGGATTGCATGCAGTTCTCCTGTTAAAATTGTAGCAGCACCTGGAACCTTCAGGGTATTGTACTGGTTGGTGTGACAATGGCTGCTCCACAGTTTGATCCTTGTTTTGAGGCATCTGTGTATATTTGATTGTGGTCAGGATATTTTCCGAGAATCTCGTGGAAATGTTTGTTTAATTACTTCATTTGGTACTTTGTTTTTGTCTAGTTTCGTTAGCCAGGTATTTACCATTGGAAACTGAATGGTCCATGGCGGAGTGTTTGATATGTTGGTCAAGTATGATTGTGGTAGTTGGCGTATATTCAGGCTTCTTAAATGTGCTTGAAGTCTCCTGTTTATTGTTGTGTGCCTTCTGTTTCTGTCTAGCTGCATTTGTATACGCATATATTTGTAAGCAGGAGCGCCTAGTTTGATGAAGCTTTGATTACGTAGGATGTACTTAGAATATCACGCCCCAGTTGCAGTGGGGCTTCGCCTGCCTCAAAATACGTATATAGGCTGTCCACTGGAGTAGTTCTATAGGCACCTAGTACGATACGCAGCGCTGTGTTATGCAAAACATCCAGATGTTTTAATATTGATTTCTTGGCAGATGCGTAAGCTATGCAGCCATAATCTATTTTAGATCTTATCAACAGTCTGTAGATGGATAAAGTGTTTTCCCCTCTGCGCCCCAGTGTTTGTTTGCAAGACATCTCAGTAAGTTTATTCCTCTCTGGCATGTCTGGATAAGTTGGGTGATGTGATTCTTCCATGTCAGATTCTTGTCAAATGTTATTCCCAGGAATTTGATCTCATCTACGTACTCCAATGTTGTGCCATGTAGTTGTAATATTGGGTTGATGATATCTGTGTTCTTTCTGCTGAATATGATGCATTTAGTCTTGCTGGGCGAAAAGGTGAAGCCTGTATTGTTTGACCATTGTTCAAATTTGGATAGCTGGGTTTTCAAGAGTGTGGCACTGGTTTGAATATTTCTGCCTCTCACATATAATATCATGTCGTCCGCATAGAGGCGAGCTTGGATGGGTTTCTCCATATTTCTCAAGATGTCATTTATTGCTATGAGAAAGAGAGTTGGACTGATTATTGATCCTTGTGGTACACCGTTCTCTTGTGTTTTGGGTTTGGATAATGACCCATTCACGCGAACTTGGAAGTTTCTGTTTTTGAGAAAGTTGGTGAGAAATGCTAATATGTGTCCATTATAACCATATTCTTTGAGTTTTTTAAGTATTTATATCTCCAAGCGGTATCAAATGCTTTATTGATGTCAAAGTATATGCTATGCTGTTGGTTTTCAAATGCTTCATGGATACAGTTAGATAAGTCGACTATGTTGTCCATTGTCGATCTGTTCGGTCTAAACCCTGCTTGTTCCTGAATGAGTATATTTTGTTGCTCCAAGCTCCAGATCAGTCTTTTGTTGATAATTTTTTCCAGAAGTTTGCATGGGACACAGGTCAAAGAGATAG